AGGGGGCTGTGGTGGAGGTAAATGCGGATAATATTTTCTTTTTATTTGCATGCAGATGCAGATGCAGATGCATGCATACAGTTGCATGCATGCAGATGCATGCATGCATGCAGTTGCATGCAGATAACCATACATGCATGCAGTTACATGCATGCAGTAATTATGTATACTTTTGTGAGTATATGCATGCATGCATCCATGCATGCATGAATGCATGCATGCATGCATGGATGCTTCATGCGTTGGATACATTTGTTTTCTCTGCATGCATATTCTTGCATGCATGCATGCGTGCATGCATGCAAGCATAAATTGCATGCCTTTTTTTGCATGCATACGTGTATTGTAGAGTAATTCTTTTGTTGCAGTTGTGTGGCTGTTGCCAGCCCCATTAAATTAATTAAATTAATTAATGGCAGTAAAGAAGTAAAAAAAAAAAAGAAAAAAAAAGTATAATTATAATTATAATTAAATAAGTATATTCATGCATGCATGCATGCATGCAGGTGCATGCAGATGCTTGCATGCATAATTTATATATTTTCCTGCCAACAAACTAAACAAACCTATTAAGAACTGCAGCCCCATTTTACTGCATGCAACAATTGCATGCATGCATGCAATTGCAGCATATGCATGCGTATATGCATGCATGTTAGATTAGACTTTTTCTTGTAGTGTATGTACAGTAGGAGTAGAGTAGTAGTAAAGACAAGAAGGGAGATAAACAAATAGGAGAAGTTTCTCCCCTCTAAGGTTTCGGGGCTGGATAATGAGTTGCATGCAATGCACGCAATGCATGCATATCTGCAGCTTTCTGTTTATGCTTATAAAGGAATAAATATTATATTTCCTTTCCTGTAGTTAGTTGCATATAACCATTGTGTATGTGTTATTGTTTATTTTTTCTCTTTTTATACTTAATTATTAAATAAATACATTTACCTTCTTATTCTTTATTAGATACAAAAAGGGTTTATATAAAGAAAAAATAGTGCATGCATTAATTATACAGCATTCTTCCTGGTGTATATATTCAACAACTAGTGTATATAAGGCGGTGTATGGATATTTGCCTTAATTAATTATTATTTATACTTCTTTTATTTAAATAAACTAATTTTAAGAAGAATATTCTTTTTATTTGTATTAATTGTTTCTTTTTTCTTGTTTGTTTCTTCACTGATGACAAAGAAGGTTTATGCCCCCCTCTCTTCCCGTGTGCGGATCGATTCTTGAATAAGACATTTTTGTATGGATCTTGGATAAAAAAAGAGGAAAAAGGAGAATAAATTAATTAATTCCTTTTATTTTAGTTAAATATAATCCTATATATTTAAATTTCCTTGTATATTGAAGGAACTATATCATCATCAATTCCATAGATACTCTGGGGTGTACGTACACCCCAGAGTAGTAGTCGTTGACGGTGGATCGACTACTGACTGACCGGTGGTGCTGTAAGGAGTGACGGCAGAGGGAAAAGAGGAGGAAAAAAGATTTTTTGTGGTTATTTCATTTATATTTAGGTGCACATTTGTGTATATAATTATAATTCTCCTTTTTCTAATCAATAAAAGGGCTATTTCTGCCGAGTTTCCCCTGATCATCTTGGCTAGTCGTCGTCGCCACGCCGACTGTGTTCAAGTATTCATTACTTCAGGTGTAAACCTGTCGATATTTCCTTCTTTTTTCGTTTTTTCTTTGATTTAAACTTTTAAACATTATTAGATATTATTTCCCTTCTTTAAAACCTTCATTTTTACCCTTTTTACCCTCGCTTTCCTTCCCATCGTTAACCCGGCGCTGGCGACAGACCTCCCGATACACCCCAGGACTCAGGAAGCGCGTTGTTTTTTTCATGAATTACCCCTTATAAAAAGGATCATTTTAGTGTTTATTATCTGCAGATTGTCTTGAAACGCAGCCGATTGGCATATTATAGTTGAATTTATCTGTGTGCGGAGGTGATCTTTTCTTTTTTTCTTGAAGATGTATATCCCTCGTTTATTAGCGCTTTTATCTATTTCTTCCTCCATTCTTCCTTCTGCGTTATGCTTATCTAAGGAGAGTACCTCCTCCTCCTCTACCGCCCTTCTCTCTGCCTCCACTGCCTCTACAGCTCCCCTTGCCCGCAGCAGCAGCAGCAGCAACGAGCCATCAGTAATAAAGAAATGTCCAGGTAATGTACCTGTACATGAGAGATCGTGTACATTAGATATAAATAAAGGAGAAGCAGGAGAATTTATGTGTATGAATCCTTTACCCCAACATTTTCCTTCTACTGTATATACATGGGACGGAGAGGAGTCTAAGGCATCAGATGTATTTGGTGGTGAGACAACAATACAATTAATTGATAAAAAAAAACATTTATATCGTATATATATACCTAACAGCAGCACAGCAGCAACTGCAACAGCAGCAGCAGCAGGAGTTACATGCTCACAAGCTGTACGTACACCCGGACAACCTACTAATGATAACCCATCATTAGATA